GTGGCGGATAAAATATCATATTCACACTGACTTTTTGTGCACTTTACACAGTAAATTTTGGGACTCACTCAAATCTTGAGTGAAATTTATAACAATAGTTCAATGAACAAATTATATATATATATATGCCTTTTGAAAGAGTTAAATGTTCAATAAAATATACTATCTTCTGAGGTGAACATTGCATCCACAAATGACTGTGTGTCGTTATGGCAAAATTGTGTGATTGCATTGTGCTGATGCATTAATAAGATAGGCTTATCTCGTGCATGCAGCTGGAATGCACCAAGAGCCCCCTTGTTTGCGTCATTCATTGCAGGCATCCATGCAACATTGCAATCCTCAACACTTGCTTGGTTGATTGCAAATTCAGTCGTGAATGACTCCCACTTGTCAAGTGCTCCCTGAAATAGGGCTAGTGTGACTGGACGCAGATGCTCAAGCTTGGAGGCAAGTTTGAATGCTGCAGCCATAGCAACAGGATTACACCAGGGCTGACAACCAAAGCAAGCTGTCTTGGGGGCCACATTAGCACCAAAGATCAGCTTGGGATTGGTAAGAATGAGTTTGAGGTACTGTTTCAGTTCCTTGTGTAACGGTCCCAAGTCCAGCACATTGAGAGACTCTGTGCCTGGCCCCCAAACCATCTGCGAATATGGATGTGAGACCGTACCACCATATATCACAATGGCAACAACCTCCGTCAATGTCTTCAAACAGTGGAGAGCCTTGTACAAGTTGAGTTCCATGTGATTGAGTTTCTGGTGATCCTTCTTATCTTGTACAAATTCCAGAAACTCAAGTATAGCTTAATGATCCATGGGAACCACCTCTGCAGCTTCAATGTGAGACTGGAACCTGACATTGCTCGTGTTGGGAAATTGACTGGCCACCAGCCCTCTGTTTTCCATGTACCAGCAATATGTATCATGCTGGCCTTTCTTCTTATCTTTATTATTGAAGATTCCACCTGCAAGACTGATTGCCTTGACTGCTCCTTGGATTGACTCATTCAGCGCACACACCCCGGCAGGAGTTGGCCCGCAATCAGCACCATGAGAAGCACCCTGTAGTGTTGCATCATTATCCTTGTTTGCAAGGAGCACTGGCCCTTCAACGCCAAGTTGATCCCATTCAGCCATCATTGCATCATTTCCACCCTTTACAGCATTTAGTTCCTTGAGCATGCAACACCCTGCACGTACGAGGAACTCAGCCTCATGCTTTTCTGCCTCTGATAACCCAAGGTAGGCATCTCATCCAAGTGTCCGCACCATGGAAGACTTCATCGTCAACTCCAGTTTGGTGCGCTCAGAGGGTAAAAGGCTGTTCCAGCACTCGAGCCCACCAGCCTCTGCAACCAGCTGATGTTTTGCACAGCCCAGGGTTTCAGAGAATGATGCCGAGAGAGCACGGTTCTCGGACAGAGCATTATTGCCAAGATCCGCCAGTAAGTTCTCAGATTTCCATGCTTGGAACAGCCAGAAGGCCTTCTTCTGATCAGCAGCATGGTCACCATTGATCCCTTTTGCCTTCAATGTGAAGATCCAATCACTGAAGTCAGAACCAGTGCGTTGCGCAAGCACTTCAGTCACCCCAAAAACATAAGCATTTAGCTTCAACTATCTGTGTAAATGTATAAAGCTAAGAGCTTGTTTTTCCTGGTATCATCCCAAGTGCTCCAGCAAGGATGGGATCATCCCAGAAGCGGAATAATACCACCCTTCTGGGATTTTCCCATGGTATCAGACCATGTACCATAGTGGGATTATCCCTCAGATGGGATAATCCCAATAACCTGTCACATGTCACATGGTATCAGGGGGATTGGTGCTAATACTAACATGTGAGAATGCTGGGCCAACTAGTGAAGATATTTCCAGTCTTTTCCACCTGAATAATGGTACTTTAGCCCAATATAATCAAGACTATTTTGAAATATATGAGTTACAAGTTCCTCATTGTAGCTTACTGCAAATTTGGGGAGAAGCATTCCCTTTTTTTTAAATGTGGAACATTATCAATTTCTAGATATAATCAATTGCAGGAACCATACACTAGAAAGATGCTGTTGTCCTTGCTGATAGATGTGATATGTGAGTTCTGCTTTTTTGCAAGGTTTATTATACCCTTAACTGAAGTAAAAACTAGGAAACACAACACAAATGCTGTGACAACAAAGTAATCTGCAGAAGGACATCGAATATTAGATTTACACTAGATCTGGCATATTCTGTGAGGAAAATCCTGACCTTGTAGAAAGTAAAACATAGTAAAAAGAAACATAAAGTCATGTTCTTGCAAAAACATGAATTTACCACTTTTGTGGCACTACCAAGGTATTTGATACCTTATATTGTACATTCTCTGAGAGTGGTTCCTGGGGGCTGCTGGCTGAAGGTCTATGGGGAGAGGGGGATGCTTGCTATGTACAGTATAATACACAAGATCTCCATTTTGATACTCCTACACTAGATGACTTGAGTGTGAGGATTAATTAGGCACTGCTTAGGTATTTAATACCTTGAGTTGTGCCATTTCTGGGAGCTACCAGCTGAAGGTCTAAGGGGTGACTGGTGCCTATATGCTGACTGTGTATAGTACAGTATCTAAGTCCACAAAGAATCTGAGTGCTGTAAAGGTATTCTTTTTTTAGATTCTTGAGAAATTGAAATGAATCCGGAAAATATTTTTTCATGCCAAGTAAGGTTTCTGCCAACATTCTCTGTCTCTCATATGATAGTGATGCTGTCTCACACCACTCTTTTTGGATTATCATTTTTATGGCAATATGTAGAACTCAGGTAATTTCCTTCAAAACTGATTCTGACCATTGACATTGCCCAACTTTTGATTTTTTTTACTGAGGATCATCCCACACTGATCTGGACAAATCCCTGAAATAGGGTGTGATCATCCCAGTTAAATCTGTACATGTCCCCACGTAACATGGGGTTACCCACTTCTCACATGGACAAATACCAGAAGGGGGTGGGATCATCCCAGTTCAATATGGACAAATACCATAAAGGGATGGGATGATCCCAGCTCAATGTGGACAAATACCACAAGAGGATGGGATAATCCCAAGCCAATCTGGGATGATCCCAAACCAATCTGGGAAAATCCCAGTTAAGCATGGACAAATACCAAATGAGATGGGATGATCCCAGTTAAGCATGGACAAATACCAAAAGAGGATGGGATGATCCCAATTGAATCTGGGAAAATCCCAGCAAGAGATGGGATGATACCAGTTTAACATGGACAAATACCAAAAGAGGATGGGATGATCCCAATTGAATCTGGGAAAATCTCAGTTCAACATGGACAAATACCAAGGGGGGATAGGGTCATCTCAAACCAATCTGGGAAAATCCCAGCAAAAAAGGGGATGATCCCAGTTAAATGTGGACAAATACCAAATGGGATGGGATCATCACAATTTGATATGGACCAATGCCTGAAGGGTAAAGCATCATCCCAAACCAGCCAAGGAAAGTCTTGGAAAGAGATGGGATCATTCCAGTTCAATCTGATCTAGAAAAATCTCCAAATTACATAGGATCATCTCACTACATCACAGACAAATCCAAGCAGGGGACAAGATCACCCTGAGTCAGAATAGGACAGGGAGATCCCACAACAGGAACAGAATTATCGAATAGCATGCTTAGGCTGCTGGTGACTCAGCATGACAGGGGAAAATACTCCTGAAATGCACTAAGGTTATTCTGTAACATATAATCATAGGTAAGTTCCCAGCAGCTTAAAATATTATTGTCCTTTTCCAGCAGTTTCCATTTTTTACATGTTGCAGTATTTTGTTTGTAAACCAACTATTATGTTATGGTAGGACCTGGATGAACCTAAGGTTGAACTGGGACAGTGATTCAGAGTAGCCCTCACGTAGGTTCATCCCAAGTCACATGAAATTGCATAAGCATGCAGAGCACACCTTTCAGCCATTTTTGTTTTCACAAAAATTTATAATCAATTGTATGCGTGGGGACATATAGTGGATAAAATGGGTGTTGGCTTGTGGATGCTGGGCTGCCACAAAGAGCCAGCAATTTGTCTCATGCAAGACATGTTCTGCCTTTGACAATGATGCAGCAGAGGGAAGGATAATGAATATGTAGTACTTACTCGGACTGGTATCTTTGTGCATTTTTCAGTTCAGGCACTTGGATAAAGCTGCACAATTCAAAAAAATATCATATCTTTTGGATCAGCACATTAAATGGATTTGTGACATATCTTTGCCTGGTTGCAAGAGTGTTACATTATTTAAAGTTGGATGAGCCTGAATGAGAGGTATTGTAATCCTGCAGATGTATATGCTTGGTATTGTCAAACATCTTGTATTCCTTTGACTATAAGCCATTTTAAGTAACATTGATAGAAATCCAGGGTAGATAAATCTACTTTGTGATATGCAGTAAATTATATGATAAGTAGGAATGACAAAGTTATATAGTCAGTTAAGGAAAAGAGATATGGTTGAATTATCTCCTAATCAACTGAATTAAATCAGGTTAATTTGTAAATGGTTATATGTCACAATTAGTTACACTAACCTTTGGTCAAAGTCTCCTCCATCAATCTATAGTATATGATATTACACTAGAAGCTGGACAAATTAAGGTTCAATTGAGAGTAAACACCATTTGAAATTTGTATATATGTTATAAATGATGAAAGCAGGTAGTATTGTATTCTGCTTCATGGCTATTAGTACTATTGATAATGTATTGATGTTGGCTACATTTATGCAGGAACTATTTTTGCAGTAAAGCCCCCCTGACACCATGTGACATGTGGCAAATGTCTGGGATTATCCCACCATAACAAATGGTCTGATACCATGGGAAAATCCCAGAAGGGTGGTATTATCCCACTTCTGGGATGATCCCATCCTTGCTGGAGCACTTGGGATGATACCAGGAAAAACAAGCTCTTAGCTTTATACATTTACACAGATAGTTGAAGCTAAATGCTTATGTTTTGGGGGTGACTGAAGTGTGCGCAAGGGGAGAGTTGTTGTAAATTATTGCAAGAGCAGCTACTGATGATTGGAGGCCTTCTAGCTGCATCTTGCTACAATGGTTTTTCGACAATTCAACTCCCAGAAGCTGCACAACTGGTTTGGCAGGTGTTACATCATTCTTGGTATAGGAGGTAACTTTGTATGAAACATGCCGAGATCCATAGTTCACATGCCTATGGGATGTTCCGTCAGTGCTGACAGTGAGGTCTACAAGTATGTAAGTCAAATTTCAAATGTTCTAACTTGAAATTGTGCTCACTCTCCGTTTGTGCCATCTTATGGGCAAACTGGACCTTTGCTGCTACACCACCCTCAGATCTTGCCTTCCCAACGGTCCACCTACTCATCCATGGAGGTATGGGCAAGCCAAGAAGCTTAAACACCTGCTGGACAAGCTTACCCACAGCTTTGCGTGCACAGCCAGCCAAAACAAGTGATCTTGTGAGGGAGCAACTTTGCTATGAGTAAACCCCCTTGGAAATGATGCGCTGCATTGCCAATTGATGCAGTGTCCCATCTTTTCTCCATGTCAGTGCACTTACCAACTTCCGGGATATTTGAAGTGCACACATCTGATAGGTGTGCATTTTTCTTTGGCTTTCCTTCAAGTCATCCTTCAGAGATGCAATATTTGCCTCACTCCTTTCAGCGCAAAGTTCAAGTGCTCTGATGCACCCCGCCAGCTCCTCCTCATGTGCCTTCGCCTTTTTCAAGGCATCCTTCTGCATTGATGGAATTGTGATGGTGCAAACTTCTTTGAGGCTTGCCTTGGCTAACCGTGCTGCAGGTTTTGAACAAGAGACCTTGCGCCTCTCGTTCCAAAGGAGGATGTGCAGCTGCTGCACTCGCACTCCACTCCAGTGCTTGTAAAGTACTCTTTATTTCCATGGCCTCCGCACTCCTGGCTGCAAGCAAGGCCTTCTGCCTTGCCAGCTCAGCATTCTGACGTCTAATGCAAGAATTTCTTTGTGTGAGAGCCTTTCTAGCAAGATCAAAGTTGCAGTTGGTCTTTGACAACTTAACTTTGAGGTCTTTGATTGCATGTGAGTGAGCAGCCCTGCGTATTTGAACTCCAGCCTGACTTGAGGCATTATAGAATGAAATATTATTGTTCTCCTTGTCAGAATTGAGGCGCAGACACCGCAACTCTCATGTTTGTGCAAGGTGGGCCGCCTGGGCTTGTGAGCACTGTTTTCTGCAACAAGGCATCAAAGGCTGGCTCGGGCTCAAAGTTGACAGGGAGATATGCATTAGGCAGGCTCTCAAGGTCCACAGAGTTTGTAAGGACTATCCAGTAAGTGAGATTAAATTTCCAGCGCAGAAAGGAGTAATGACTGTGATGTTTTGCCAGAGAGAGTCGAGGAAATCAGTGCCTGCATGTCAGCAAATGTGCTTGTGGCGGCGCGATGCGCCAATTTAACTGCCTTCATATCCTAAAGGCTCATGTGTTGTCGCATATCTGTCCAAATTAATAAGGTTTGAGACTCACGCACTATCGCTCTCTACCACCACTGGAAGTGGTGGCTGAGAGCCAATTTCCTATTTTGTTATAGGATATTGAACTACTATAGAAATTCTTGATTCACGCTTTCTGGATACCTCAGTCCTTGTACAAGAGACTGAGGTAAGTTTTGACATACATACATATTCTTATATTTACTGAAGCTACTACCTAGTATCACTTTGTAACAGATACAAAACAACATCATGTTATTCACCCATTCTCTGTGCAAGTCGCAGCACATTTTTATTTCACTGTATATACCTTTGATTTGTTGTGATCATTTCTACAAAATCTGTACAATTACCTACTGAATTGAACATGGAATAGCGCGTATCTCACTCAAAAAAGAACATTTTCAAAATTGCTCACAACAACTTGAAGATATTTGCATTGCAAACAACTCTTCCTCTCAAAGTTTGTCACAACTTGGTGTACAAAGAACCTTTAGAGCTTGTATGGGAACTCAATTTTCAGAAAATATTGGTTTTTCCAACTTTCCAGCCACATGATGCTGGGGAGCCATCGGAGTCAAAGCAGGCTGTACTCTTTTTGGGAGTACAGTCTGATGGCACGAGGGGAATAATATATATGTTGTCCAATGGTCAACACTTCTTCAACTGTCCTCATGCTCTGAATGAAACAAAAACATGATGTAGGGCATACCCTGGACCACGTCCCTCCTGGAAAACAACCACAACAATCCCTCAGAATGAGCAAAAGTCAGTCCCAAAAATCTAACAATCAAGAAGTAGAAGATGAAGGAGAAGGAGAGAGTGTTAGTCAGAGTAGTGGCAATGCCATTTGGACCGAGATCAAAACTACAGCCCTTATCAACTACATTAAGAAACATCGCACATGAGGGGACGGCCTCAACTTTAGGAGGGCATTTTGGCCAGGGGTGGCAGCTGACATTGCACCTCTCCTTGCAAAAGGACCAGGAAAAAGTGCTTCTTGCTGTGGTTCAAAATGGGGCAGGGTTTGTAGATGGATATTGTACCCCGCCGTACACTATTTGCTAACAAAAATCATGTGCTAATGTAGCTCTGTACCAAATATAATGAAATCAGTGCAATTGCAAACTTATCTGGTGTACCGTGGGACAACAAACTAGGGCTGAATATACTTGACAAAAGTGAGGCGGTCTGGGCAGAAATTGTTGGGGTACGTATCTGGTTTTTACCTGCATGGGGAGGAGTCTGAATCAGCATCAATATGTAGAAAAATCCGAGAGCAAAAGCGTACAAGAGAGAGGGGTGGGTGCATTATAGCGCTATGCAGGAACTGCTGGGGGGTCAGCACGCCAAGGGCTCGAATGCCTTTTGCACCCCTAGAGTACCCCGAGCCCCAAAGGTGCCGAAGACGTCCACATCCACCACCCAGGTATCTACTCTGCCTGTTTCCGCCACCACAAATTCTACCACGTCTATTGCGCCTACACCCGCTGCACCCGCTGCACCTACTGTCTCATGCAGTGCCCGCTGTTGTGGCTGCTGCAACTGCCATCCCTTGTGCAGCTGTGTCTGACAGAGCCGCAAGGATCCTCCTGGTCGCATCAACAACTGGCTTGGCGGCCTTCTCTCCCCAACTTTTGCAGCTGTGCTTCCTCCCATGAGTTTGACCACTTCAGCTAGTAGCAAGCGCTCGGCTTGAGATGCTGAGATTGATATTGATGAAGGCGCAACTGTCATCTCCCATAGCAAGAGCGCCGGTGGAAGCAATTGAAGCCAAGGTTCCAACAAATCCCCATGTAATACCACTGCCAATGTGCCCATTGGCCTGAATAACAGACTTGGCGAGTTCCTCCCCATCATGCAGGACTTCAATACTAAACTAGACATTGGCCTTGGTACGGAAGCTCCCTTTGCTCCCCCTGCTCCTCCTCCCAAAGTCACCCAGCCAGAAACACCTGTTCCAAACCTGTAACATGTCCATTGAAGCCATACCATCTCTGCTGTGTTGAAGAACGATCAGTACCTGGGAGTAGATGATTCAGTCAAACTGTTTCCTATTTTTGAGCACAATATTGTAGTTGTAGATGCATACCTCAGCCTTTTGCAGAACAATGAGTTTTGCCATGTCTATGTTTGCTCAAAACTTGCTTAGTTAGTAGTATGACCAGTGGTTTTACCTACAATGTACTTATATCTGTGTTCTCCATACCACAATGAAGTTATTGATTGAGTCAATCCATTCATGCATGATTTTGAGCAAATAAACATCGTAGTATACTGACTTACAACAACCCTCTCTTTTGCAGCTCTGCTTAATAGTCTACCCCATCTCCTGAGCAATTTTATCTCGTCGGTTGTGTGCTGCAAGACAAGCTACTTCCAATATTACTTGATATGAAAGCTCCCCGTTATTGCCATTATTGGGTGTGAGAATATCAGTGTCTTTGTCGTTGTCTTCGTCATTAGTCGGATTGTGAGTACGGATGAAGTTGTGAAGGAAGCAAATGGCAGGTGGGATGACCACAGACATGTTGTATTCAGGTGCAGCCTTCAAGATTGAAAACTGGTGCTTCAGAACGCCAAAGATACGCTCAATGATGTTCCGAGCTGATGCATGGCGCAAATTGAAGTACTCTTGCTGTAACAACCAAGAGTTAGTTACTCTGGCGCACACAGGAACACACTATAAAGGTAGTGGAAGATGGGGAGTGGGTACCCCTTGGGCTGCAGTGAGTTAGTTGGTATACAACAGGAGGACTCGCTGAGGAGTCTCCTGGATCTATTGGGGTATATATACTACTACAGGTTTGTTTGTACATGTGTACTATACAGTTGATGAAGGCAGTGGCTGATGATGTCATAGGGCCTAGCCCGTATGGCCAGCTCCACTGCGTGAGAGAGTTAAGTCTAAAAGTAAAAGAAAGGCAACGCGGCGCGAGAAAGGGAAATGCCGCGTGGCACTTAAAGTATAAAGTTAAAGCGGAGAATAAAAAGGAAAGGAGATGTCCGGAAATTGTGTTATCGTAACACTTGCGTGTTCTGGGGCCTTTTAAAAGTGAGCTTAGTCCAAATATATATATTAGGGACTTACCTGCAGTTTCCACAAGCGTATTTGGCCAGGTGGTAGTGCACACCTCTGTAGGGGACAAGGAGCTGGTCACATGAGGGAAATCCTGCATTGGCCAGATAGTATTGGCCACGGGGTATATACAGATCATGGGAGTGGGCATCATCAAAGAGACTGGCATCCGCAGCGGACCCCTCCCACCCACACCAATGGCGTCCTTGAAGTGGCGAAGTTTCGGGTTGTTGGCAATAGCAGCTGGTGTGGCCTCAGTGTCCCCAGGAAGATGTACATAGGAGTTGTAGATATTGGTGGAAGTGAAAGCCTGAAACATCTGCTTGAAATACTTGGTGATTGTGTCGTTGGAATGTTGAAAGTGTTCAGCGAGACGGCGGGTAGATAGACCGGTGACGCAGGCATACAGAAAGATGGCAGTTTGTTCCTCCAGCTTGACATGCTTGGAGTCAGTATACCCATGACTCTGCAGGAAATCGATAAGCTTTATAAATACTTCTCGCCACATCCCCAACTCAGTCCTTATTCAATCAGGATGACCGTCCATTAATTCTCTAACCCATCCATAACCCGTCAGAATTGAGTTATGATATGGCCTTGGCCGTGGTCACTGCTCCTGCCCCTCAGCAACAGCTTGAGCTGTTGCAACGATCGACTGAACAAGGATTGACATGAACCTCGACATCTGCAGGCCATATGAGAGGATCTGTTGTCTAGTCAAGGCGATCTGTGAGTTGGATGGGGCTTGATTTTTGTCCTCTGTTTCCGGACTATGAATTTCTTCTATTTTGTCCATGCGATTAGAATCGGACTTGATATTGAGCTGCAAGACAAAACTTATAATAATGGCTGGTAGCGCTAACTAGGGGTATGTGCAAGAACTTTGCGGTCTGTGTGTTTTCATTCTCCGCTCTAACCGGGAGGAGCTGGGCCGAAGCAAAAATCGATTTTTTTGAAAAGTGAGAGTTCCCGTATGAGCTCTAAGTTAACCTCGCAACCCGCACCCTCCAGCTGTGTCATTATCTCTTGTCTCAATTATTTCCCACGGGATTGTGGGAACGCTACCGAGTTGGGAGGACCATTTATGTGACCAGTGTCACATTCGTTACACTGTCCTGCCACCGCTTTTGAAGTCAGAAGTACATAAAATAGGCCAAGTGCGAGATCTTCAAGTGCGGATAACAAAAGCCCGAAAATATGCTGCAGAAAAAATCAAAACAGCAAGAGGATTTATTTACCGTCTTGGCCGTTCTATTACCAGTTCTGCTGTTGAGACTATTCTCAAAAGCGAGTCACTTGTGCCTACTGTAGTAAGCACCACCTATTTATTTGGTGTATCAAACTGATGTCAGCTATAATACAGAATGCCTTTGCAGATAGATTGGGAGATGATTTCCGAGTCTTTGACATGCTTGTTGTTGATGCTATGCATGAAATTGAATTGGGTGTATGGAAAGCAATATTTACCCATATTGTCCGTATATTATATGCTTCAGTAGAAGGTAGTCAAGCTGTAGCTAAACTGGATGCAAGGTAGTTGCGCACTCTTTACTTGTATTCTTCTGCCAACTAATAGATTCGCTTATACAGGTTCCGTGAAATCCCTGCATTTGGTCAATCAACAATTCGACGGTTCTCAAACAATGCAAGTGAGATGAAGAAGCTTGCAACAAGGGACCTTGAAGATTTATTACAGGTATATACCCACTATCTATGGCTTAGACTCCTTAGCTAACAGCCACCTGTTTATCTTATCAGTGCGCTATCCCTGGGATTGAGGGGTTGTTGCCATCGCCCCATAACCAAAACATAACCAGACTTATATTCCGCTTGGCTCAATGGCATGCATTAGCCAAGCTCCGCATGCATAGAGAATCAACGTTAGCTATGCTCAATGATGCTACAGTTACCTTGGGCAAAGAACTGCGTAATTTTTGCAATGTTACCTGCACTGCTTTTGCAACAAAAGAGCTGCCACGAGAAACTTCCTCTCGTATGCAACGAGCAAAACATAATGTTACCTCAAACCGATCTGGTCGTGATGCTGAAGGCTCTCGGGGAAATCATACAGACCAAGGAATACAAATACCACGCCGGAAGAAATTCAACCTTTCAACCTACAAGGTCCATGCATTGGGTGATTATGTGAGGACAATCCGCATGTTTGGCACAACAGATTCATATACTACGCAAATTGTAAGTAATATTTATATATTTGGATCTCATCTGTGGACCATATGCAATTGCTTAGCACCTCCGAGCAAGTTTGATGTCTTGGCTTCATGCAGTCATCATGCCAGCCATGTTTTGAGATACCCTTGCCCCAAACAAGTCGACCGCTCCTATATATTGATATAAGACTGTACCATGGTTCATAATGTTTCCACCAAGTATATACTTGGGCCATGCCAAGGAGCTTTCTGGTGGTCCTGCTATGTCCAGGCAGGTTTCAACTGTTTTCGTGTTGTACCGACAACCTCTTGACACCCATGACAATATTGCTCAACCTTGTGTAGGTTATCATCCAAGCCATATTGTGCGATGCTCTCATACCAGACAATCCAACCACTATTACATATACATACCATTACATATCATGTGTCCAGAAAATACACGTTTTGACCATACCAGGCAATCTGCTGCTGAACCTGCTATAGTCTGCTAATCTATGCCAAGCCCATCCAGTGCGGGTGTCTGTGTGCTGATGTTTGCCACCCGCCATCAGGCAATAGCAGGAATCAACCGTTTTCGTGATGACTTGGATTTGTTTTTCATGCAGTGAAAACGGGCGTAAAAGAACTACATTCCGCTTTGGCAACAAGGGCTCCGAGTTAGTGAAGTTTAACCTGATCGACATCCTTGCCATCGGGTCGAGCTAAAGCACAGCAAGCTATGGATTTGACATCTTTTGGACCATCAAATTTTACTGTGGAGCCAGATCTTCACCCACTATACCCAAATTCAATCGCAATATCATCTCTCCTGTCGTCGCAATCCAGTCTAACTTCCTCACAAAAGGCAGAACTTGTATCTCATTGCCTGATCCGCTCGTGTGTGTTCGGCGAGCTCCCTGTACTTTCATATCTTTTCGCCGATCCCCACGCTAAAGTATTTCTCGATTTGAATGCACAAGACGAGGATGGACTGTGTTTGGTTAGCTTGGCAATACAAGGATTTGGATCAGAGTCTGAAAGAGATGTAGAACGAGAAGAGTGTGTTCGCCTCCTGATTGCTCAGGGAGCAAATGTGAACTGTGCAGATCAAGGCGCGATTTACCTTTCCCCCTTGTACGATTACATGTTGACTGTTATCCACCATTAGCTGGTTGGACACCTCTACACTATGCCGCTCTACTGTCTCCTCCGACTTTAGTCTCTCATCTAATGACTCACGGATGCTCTCCCTTCTCTTTGACACGCCGCCAGCTCACGCCCTTAGACATAGTCAGTGCTCATACTCCGTTACCCGGACGTGAAGATGTCAGTCTATTGTTAGAGGAAGCCATGCGTAGCCAGGGCTGGACGGGGGGAAGGATCGTTAACGTCAGGAAGTCATTGGATGAGCGCATCAAAAGATGTGAAAAAGAGAAAAGAGTTCGTGACGAGGTTTCAAATATACTCCAAGTTGACTATCGGTGGTGGGGCGCCGATGAGTTGAATGATTCGTACCTTCAGTTGGATGATGACGAGACTGATGAAATGGATGAAAGTTTTTATGTAAGCCATTCCTCTTGAGAGCACAAGCGTGCGTGCAGCTGAAAATGTCACAGACACCACCGTTAGGTTATTCATCGATGCTGGTCTTTTCACCAGACGAACTTCCTCATTTACTACAGTCCACCATCACCGACTTTCAGCCTTCTTTACGGAATACCCAGCCTGCCAATGTCTTGTATATGATGGCGCGCTTTGCTTGCTTGACCTGCGATCGAACATGGCTTGAAGATTTAATAATAGGAGCTACTGATGCCATCGAGGAAAAGATTTTTGCACGTACTAATGGGCTCTCCATTTGTTTTCATACTTATATTATTTCATAGAGTCGATCGGAAGACATCACTTGCCTCGTGTTCTGGTTATACAACAGCACTATATGGCTCCATCTCATGCAGTGCGATAACTCGATAAACGAATCATGCGAGATGCTTGGTTCTTTCGTGCTCATAGAAGAAGTAATCAATTCTGTGTTTGGTGAGTAACTCGGTTATTAGATGCTGTTGTAACTCAGTGGTTTGCAGTATTTATCATTCGCTTTGCCGAGAGGAAAATCGATGCACTACTCGATGTTGCACTGCTGGATCACTCTCCTCTCTCTTCTGAGCTAGACTCGGTGCAATTCGAATCAGAGTGGTCTTTTCTACGACCATTTAGTACAAAGAAGAAAGCTGCAAAGTTCTCTTCTGGCGCGAATGGCATGTCATCGCGCAGCAGAACACCATCGTCACCCCTGGTTCTCCCCATTAGACCATCCTCTCCTTCGGTACAGCCAACGCTTGGTGCTGCTATTGCTCCAAAAGGTTTTTCGTCCCTAAGGCAAAGTTTATCTCTTGCAAGGCCTCCCTCGGCCCCTCTACAGTCTCTATTTTCTGATCCACCACTTTCACCATCCCCATACAATGTCACGGCCTTCCTCACCGCTCTGCATACACTGCTAACTTTAGCAGGAGTTAATCCGGCGTTAACAATACAACTGTGGTCGCAAGTGATGTACTGGACTTCATGTAGGTGTTTTTTCGAGCATTCGTAGTACCTATCTGGTGACATGCCCTTAGGTGAAATCTTCAACCGAGTACTAACCCGAAAGAAGTATATTTGCCGGTAAGGAATAGTTTTTGTTGGTTTCCTCAAGAGTAACTAAGATTGTTTAAAGCTCGAGAGCAATCCAAATAAGAATAAATTTGAATGTGCTTGAGGAATGGATTGATGAGATGGGCTTACCCAGAGGAATATCCGCCCATTTTTGTGCAGTTCGAGATCTGTTGAATTGGTTGCAGGTATATTGCGCTCCTTTCCAGTTATCGATTTCTTTGATCCCTTTTGCAGCGTCTGTCTTCAATAACAGATTTTCCGAACCTTGTTGCAACCATACAGACGATGAAGAACATCAATCCCTTACAGGTGTGTGGATCGACTCGGTCGGTTTAGGTTACTTGTCTCTCACCTCGAAGGTAGATGCGGCGGGCTGTCCGCGATTATAAGTACGAAATACATGAAGGGAGAATGACAGAAGAGTGCATTCAATATCTCACGCAACTTCAGAAAGACTGGGAGCGGCATCGTGTCAAGTTGGGGGTACAAGCATTACGGAAGGAGGTATGTATGCACTTGTTACTTTGTGTTCATTCTCACCAGTATGTTCCAGATTAGTGATCGGGAACAGGAGCGTGAAGGGGGCTCCGCCCGAGAAAATTGTGGCATAGACCTATCTCACACTACCATCTCGGAATCATCTGCCGCTCAGCATTGCATCGACCTTCTATTTCAACAGAGGGAAGAAGCAGCTCCATGGGAACCGGCGAAGCCTCCCCAAGTGCTTGGAGAGTTACTAGACTCTCGATATATGCTTCCATTGTTATTTCCGTCGGATCCTCGCATGCTGTCTGTTTCCTCTGTCACCAGTATCAGTGTTATTACCTCCTCTCAACAAAGTGCCCAGCGTTCCGATACCGGATGCAGTATTAGCCGTGCGGGTGTTAGAAACAAAGGTGTTGTAGATTGGAGGTCCCAGAGCAGGAAGGTCCGTGATATAGGCATCGAGGCTTTGCAGCAGGTGGATGGTATCAGGTATACTGCTCGATGGATGCGACCTGACGAAGGCGTTGAAAACGACATTGCATTCAGACGGTCTTCATATTCTTTTCACGACATCGACATTTTGAGGCCTTACCATGTGCTGTCTAGTGCCACCCCGCTCACACGAAAGCCTTCTAAGGGGAGATTAAGCCTTGATGCAAATCACCACCCTCAGACCGACAGTTCGTATTATCTACATTAAATTTTGATAGCATAATTTGCCTTTTGTTTCATAATTGTGTTCAGAGTACAATAGCAAGCAAGTTCTAGGATGTCAGGCAAACCAACCTCCAAGGCTTATTTCGCTTAGTTTCGCTCGCGTGGTTTTTGTGGCAACACAGGAGCAGCAGTACAGTAGTAGTGAACGCAGTGAAAATTGCAGCCACATTGAAATTCTCACGTTTATAAGGACAGACAGCACAAGTTCACTGACTTCTGACTAAATAAAATTTGATCACTTTACTGTATTATTATTACTCTAAAGATAGTATGGAGTAGCTCAGTCAAGAGCAACGGAATGCTTTTGATACCATCATACAGTCAATCTATCATAATTGGGGAATAACTTGCTTTATTAACAGTGCTGAAGGTAAGGGTTGACAAATTATGACATTTGTTTATAGTATGAGAAAACATGCATTGGCCAGGGCTTGAACCTGGGACTCCAGCTTTTCATGGTCTGGTGCTTTACCAACTAAGCTACCAAGGCGTACTTGGAAAGCATACTGATTGGTTGCATGCCCAGAAGGTCCAGAATCACTGTACACGGGTGCGGATCCCATTGTGTTGTGATAAGGGTAAGGGAAAAACATATCTCTGTAATACAATTGCCGCTGCTGCTTGAGCAAGAGATAATCATAATGTTGCTCTATGTGTAGCATCCTCTGAGATTGAATCCCTATTCCTGTACATGAAACATCCACATGCAGGATTCCAAAAAACTCTGACCTCCATGAGGTATTGAGACATACCGGAGTTATTGTCTGGGATGATGTTACGATAACACAATTTCCGGACATCTCCTTTCCTTTTTATTCTCCGCTTTAACTTTATACTTTAAGTGCCACGCGGCATTTCCCTTTCTCGCGCCGCGTTGCCTTTCTTTTACTTTTAGACTTAACTCTCTCACGCAGTGGAGCTGGCCATACGGGCTAGGCCCTATGACATCATCAGCCACTGCCTTCATCAACTGTATAGTACACATGTACAAACAACCTGTAGTAGTATATATACCCCAATAGATCCAGGAGACTCCTCAGCGAGTCCTCCTGTTGTATACCAACAAACTCTCTGCAGCTTAAAGGGTAACCACTCCCTCATCACTACCTTTATAGTGTGTTCTTGTGTGCGCCAGAGTAACTAACTCTTGGTTGTTACAGATGAAGCGCCAATGCAACACTGTCATGGGATTAAAGCATTAGATCATACATTGCGGGACATTTTGGATAATCAACTTCCATTTGGAGGCATTATAATAATCTTTGGAGGGGACTTCCACCAAACAACGCCTGTTGTTCCAAGAGGGTCAAGGCAATGCATTATTTCTGCCTTTCTTAGAAGGTCACAACTGTGGACAAATATCCATATCTGCTATCTCACATAGAACATGTGCCTTGACCGTACTCCAGAAAGTGAAGCCTTTGCTAGCTGACTCCTGGATGTTGGTGGTGGTCATGGAATTGCAGGAGATGGAACTATTGAGCTTCCCGCCAACATGCTTATGCCAGAAAACACCATAGACTCATTAGTTGACACTACCTATCCTGGAATTGCAAATAGAGACCAAGATAACCATCATTTCCTCCACTGCACCATCCTCTCCACATTAAATGATGCCATTAGCAACCTTAATTCAGTAATCCTCACAACATCCCCTGGAGAAGAGTTAGTAGCTCTGTCAATTGATAAAGTGGTTGGAAAGGGGCATGAAAATTATCCTGTGGAATTCTTGAACTCCTTGCAAGTATCTGGCCTTCCTGAAGCGCACCTCAAACTTAAAGCTGGATGTCCACTTATGCTCCTCCGCAATATTGATCCCCTAAATGGACTCTGTAATGGAACATGCATGATTTTGATAGAGATGAAGAGAAGAGTATTGAAGTGCTATGTCTTGGGAGGAAAACATGCAGGAAAGGTAGCTTTTACTCCACGCCTCACATTGGAACCCTCATTGGAAGAATTGCCCATCAAGCTATCACATTGTCAATTCCCTGTCCATGCTGCCTTTGCCATGACCATCAACAAGTCTCAAGGGCAATCAGTGACATAAGTTGGGCTGGATTTACCTGTTCCAGGGTTTTTGCATGGGAAACTTTACATTGCATTGTCTTGCTGCACTTCAGGAGAGAGAATAAAAGTGCCATTTTCACGTGGTTCAAATGACAGATGTACCGTCAATGTGGTGTATCCCAAAATTCTGACTCGCTTTATCCTTGACTGGCAAGTAGATGTTTCCCCAATTCTCACCCTTTTTACTAAATTGTTTTATTCTCAGATCATATTTTCATCCTTTACCATTTCTGGAGTCTCTTTTTTAATTTCTCATCAATTTATCAATGTAATACCATAGACTTTTTACATTACAATATATGTTGATATTTATAAAGATTCAATGAACTATCTGCTTAAATTCAGTACACTGTGTACAAGTTTAGGGCAGGCTTATAAGGATATTCAACAACAGAACTGCAAGTCAAACATGCATCATAGGATTCAAAGACTTAACATACATTACAGACAGCATAAGTTTACTTAACATTTTGATCACTTAACAGTGATATTATTATTATTATTATTTATCATATCACAAAAACATCACACCAGTGGCAGAGTCATGGGCTGGACCTTGTCTTATTGGATCTCCACAACAATGTATGCATACCATCAAAGATTATCCAGGGTATAACCAAGACACCGTACTAGAGTATCTAAGATGCCCATTATAATATAAATAGTACCTATGGTATTCTTATTGGATGTTTTTGACATGGTACAAGTACTCCCAAAAGACATCTAAAGTATAATAAGGATATCTTATATAACCATTCAAACACTGATAGTACAAATATCAGCTTTTAATTAAATATCATACTATTTAGTACTCTCACAGGAATTCCAGGTATAATATAGACATTATAGATGCCTACTGGAACACCACCAATACAAATAGCAGTCTCATTGGATACTCCTAACACTACTTTGTTCTCCCAAAGGACATATAGAGAATATCCAGATATAAAGGATATTGTGCATACCCAGAATACCAGCAAAATAAATAATAATCTGATTAGATGTTTGGATGCTCTACACAACACTGTATGTATATATCAAACAACATAATATAGAAATAATAATTATACCAAACAAAAATCTAAAAGTATATGTATGGAAGAGATGCTATAGTGTTACAGATGTAATAGAAATGGCTATATCAGAGTTTGGCTATATAAAATCAATCTATATATTATATGCCCAAAGTAACACCAATCACCGTAAATCATTAACATTTTTATATCTTTATCATATAAGCCAAGATAGAGATAGAGAGTAAGTAAATATATGGTTAGCATATGGGATTTTTCATAAATAGCTATACAAATCCAAAATGACCTTACAGCTTTTGATATAACAATCCCCAGAAGGCAGAAGTAATTAGAATATGTGAGATGGTGGAACTAGGCTAAGTAAAGATATTTATACAAGAATAGTAAGAACTTTATATTACTGGGCTCCCTAGAGCAAATTATGATCACCAAGTGAATCAATCAAATTTTAAGTGATTTTTACCAGATTAAGTATTAATATTCACCTGAATACTAGGTGTTAAAATCAGGTGATTATCAATTTATTTATAGCTGAATTCACCATGTCAAAATATTGTGGCACTAAAGTGAATATTACCTGTTTTTCTAGTTTTTTTTTAACCTGGTAAATAGAGTGTAAAAAACAGTGAATTTCCCTTAAAATTTCGACTTTTTTCACTTAAATTATCACCCAATAAGACAATGATGAAATATAGTAAATTCATCCATGAGAATACAGTGACTTACCATGTAAGTACTAATAATTAATCTGACTGTAGGTCTAGTCAATGTAAAACCATTAATAAACTGGAATAAATAACTATTAGCAAATAAACATACCTTTAGCAAGGAATACTGGTTCATTGGTTTAATCAAAGAATGAGCTAAACTAACAAATAAAACTTGCCTTGTGATCAGTAGCTTAAGCTTTATGTATGTGCTAGTGTAGGGAAGATTGCAGGACATGATGGTAGAAAGTTACAAGTTCAAGTAACCATAGACTCAGACACAGAAACTCAGTGGGATAATAGTTGAGCAGAGTTTAAATATATCTACTCAGCTGCTGTAGTGAAGCTACAAGGGGCTTTGTGGAGTTTCTTATATTTTGGATTCCTGGAATCTCATTAAGATTCCTGGAGGTTGAATAAAGACCACTAGTAGTTGATTATACCTTGTGGTTTTTAAAACATTTTAATTTTTAAAGTTTCATGCCAAATCACTGTTTTTAATTGATTAAATCCTAGTGGTAGGTAATTTGGAAATCACCATATAAATCACAATCACCAGATCTCAACTGGTTTCCAGTTGACAGTCATTATTCACCAGGTTTTCTGGTGATTATCACCTTTTTTGGGTTTCACAATGTATTCAGAATAACAACTGTTGCAGCAACCACATAAAGTAAGGATTAGTTCATACTCTAATATTTGAATGTTGGTACAAATCAATCACAGTTGATATACTTAATAAAACTAAGTGAAACTCAGCCGCTGCCCGAGAGGCTATAGAAACGACTTTATTATTTACCTAAGTGAAACTACAATAGATGTTAGTTTAAGGTGATCTCTAATAAATGTAATGTAACATAACTCAGCCGCTGCCCGAGAGGCTATAGAAACGACTGAGGTATTCCTATACTAAACCCCCTACTACTTATAGTCGGAGGTGCTACTCGCTACAGTATAATGACTCCTAGGAGTACAATTGTGCTCCTAGGAGAACAATGGTTACTTCATGGAGAACAATGGTTACTCCATGGAGAACAATGGCTGCTTCGGCAGAGACCAGGTTTATCCGGTTTTGTCAATACTTGCATTGAATATACATAATCTATGGAATTTATAATGCCAAGTCTTATCACTTGATATAAGTATAATTAGTTTGTATTTCCTTTTTTTGTATATTTCTTTATTCTATTTATTGAAAATCAACAGATCATAAACCCTATACTGTAAATATACTAACTTATCAGTGCTATCTGCATAATCTGCAAAATCTAAGTAATTCAAGCAATCAGTATTAGATTTTAGTGTGTGACCTTTGAGTGTCACCTGACCACAGAGAGTGCATAAAAGCAAAGTGAGCTAGCTGGGGATTGAACCCAGGACCTCTGCTAATATATGGTGGTGCTCTACCAACTGAGCTACCAGCCCTTGTCCAATACCAACTCAGGATATATGTTGTCTAACAAAGCTAACAGGATTTGACCTTGACTATTCCAACAATCAGACATTTTGTATAGCATAACCATGTGACAATATAAAATGTGTGGCTATTACCACTAAACAGATTGCTACTGCAAGAGTTTACTCCTTAATGATACTAGGATCTGACACTGGAAGTTAATTTATTGCACATAGCCATATATTTTTCACGATTTCTGCTAAAGTTTGAATACATAAAGGCCTTTCATATCAACCACCTGTGCACAAAGTTTTTGAAGCCAAACTGAGCCAAACCAGCTGTTAGTGCACTCTTACAGGTTATCTACTTAGGATAGTATGATAAATAGAAAACAAAAGTTTTATATGGGAGTAAAATAACCAAAATATTATGATCTAAAGTTTGGATTAAAATGAATATTACTTTTATCATTAGCTATAGGTAGGGATGCCAAAGTTCAGTTCAGTTCAGAGATAAACTAAACCAATTGGACTCAATTTTAATAGGTTTAGTTCTTCATTTGAATTGGTTTGAACTTTTAAACTACACCGCCAACTTTATCCCATGTGGCAACCAGCCAAGTTGACCATGTGAGCCAAATCATTGGGCCAGCTGATGCCAGCTGAGTCTTGACTGAGATCCATTTTAGGATGACAATCAGACTCAGCTGAGATCACTCCCAGCACCCCCCAGCACAGAGTCCAGCTGAATACTAGCTGAGTTCCAGCTGATATCAGTCTTATATCTATCACCGTTGTCCACTATTCCTTGTATACAAAGCACATAATATATCTTTTGTTTTCACTGGCGATTCACAATTCACAAAGACAAGATACAATATAAACCAAAAAGTAAGCCATTTCATCCATTATTTTTGCGTGGCTCAGCACTACAATGCTATAAAAGTACTAATAGCAAACCAGGCAGCTCCTATCATGTAAATCATAGCACAAATCTGCAACAGGGTTTCAAGAGACAAATGGGATGATCTGTACTCTAACATGTCAGGTTAATCAGCATTTTGTGTAGCTGGGTAATAGTGACCGTACTCACAGTCCTTGGCTGTACAGACTGAGCACACATCTCCCCTTTGACAGACATATTCAGCATCTGGTGAGCATCCAGCAGATATCAAACATATGCACAACCTCTTAACATACAGCAACAGCAAACTCCCACAACATGGAGGCACACATCACACGGAGCAAACTTGCTCAGAGTTGAAGACCAGTGATGTACAGAACGGACTCACTGTAAACCTCAAGTGGTACCTGACCAGCAAACACAGGGAAAAGGCAAACATAAGCATCACAGTTAAACACCAACTCCCATAACACTGACACGCTGAATGCATGGAGCAGAACACAGCTCAGAGTTGGTGGTATTGTTTGCTTTATCACAGCAGGATCGAGTTTGACGATAAAACATTTACAGCTCATAAGTTCACACAGACCGGCAACCAGCTCATATATTGCCAGTGGTGGATTCCTTTTGCTTTCTGAATCTGACAATTTGATGTTTCTCTTGTATACAGCTCTCATTGTACATAATTCTGTAAGCTCATCTATCATTCACAATCTTCTCTTGCTTATGGCCACTTTAATTTTAGCTTCATTGCAATGTCCAACAAGTATTGTGAACCTCCCCCACCTTTCACTGAGCTTAGCAACAATCCCAACTCAGTCCCAGCGGGGCCTCACTATGGCTCCCTGGCTAAACAGTAAGTATTTGCGCTTTATAATGCATTTTCTTGTTAACATTAAATTTATCAATTTATTTCAGCTCGCAGGAAGAACAGAACCAGCCACCTGTTCCAAACAAGTGGTGAGTTATTCCGACCATGCCAATGTTTGCATTTCATTTTACATTGTGCTGCAGCCACAATCTCATTCGTTGTGCTATCAGAAAAGATGGTGTCCTCACATACTTGGCCAATGAAAAACATGATGATATCCACAATGAGCAAGGTAAGTTGCAAGTTATGATTTCAGTGAGAATTCAATTGGCCGCCTGTTGCTAACTGATACAACCTTGGTCAACAATACTCTGGCCACAGGTTCAAAGGATAATTTCCTACTCAACAAATCTTTGTTTATTCAAGTTCCCAAAAAGTTCATATGCAATCTCATACAGGAGAAGTGGCAAGCAGAGGAGGCCCGTTGCTTGGCCCAGAGGGAGCTCAAGCTCCTCCAGGTTAAAACTCGCCAATTTGAACCCAAGTAGATACTTGTCTTGTGTATGTTTTTTACATGGAATGTAAATCCTTGTAGATTCTGTCTAAGCCCATGTGACATGAGATAGATGCTACATACACACAGCACCTATCCCATCCTCGCCAGCTAATGCCTCATTATTTTCCACCCTTTCCACCTCATTTATTTCTGATCCCCTAGTAACCATCTCTTTGCCTGCTGCACCCGCTGCTTGGGCCTTCTTTGCGCTAGCCCAAACACCTCGATTTTCTTTCTCTTTTGCTTGTTTTGAATCCTGAGCTGTGCGTAAAACTGCCGCCATTTTTGCATGTTCCTCACGTCAATTTTTGAGGTACATAGTTGGGGCAGTAAGATGATGAGGGAGTGTTTGTCGTATAATAATAGCATTGTGTAAAGCATGCAAGTTTAAAATATACTTGTTGGTGTTTGTGTGCTCAATGTAACTCTCTTCTGTTGTTGTTTTCAGCCGCTCTTGTACACAAAATTGTTGTCCACTTGCATGGCAGCCACTGTCAAAGTAGTTGTGCTGGACATTTACAATAAAGAGTAATTCCTGGTGGTCCACAGGTTATGTTTCAGCTGAAAATTGACATGGTCATGGTCATAAACTCACCATGGCAAGAATTGTATGCATCCTTGGTGTTGGTGGTCGAATTATTTCAGGCATATTGAAATGAGGATGCTTGCTGTTTAGCAACAGAAATTTGTCAATCACAACTAAGTTTTGTTTGACACAGTGACCTTGGTTGGCATCCATCAAAATCTCAACAACCTGTGAAATAATTGTGCTAGACTGAATACAAAATCAATCTGGAATTGTGTTACAAAATCCAGGAAAATCTTACGTTGTGATTCACAAATACCCATGAACCAATTTGGCACACATCCTGTTTCTGTGTAACCACTGTACTGCATCTGAACCATGTAGAATCATGTCCAACTAATCACTTCACAGAACTATTCATTATTGAGCCCATCATACAAGTGTCCCTCTGAATCAATGAGGCACATTGATTTTTGCGTGGACATTTTGCAGCTCCAGGCTCAAGCCTTTCTTGGGGAGCATATCCTAATTGACGCTGCAGGTGAGGATCAGCAAAGAACTCTTTTACATTGGATCCCGCAGCCACATGGTCTTGTTTATTGGAGACCCAAGAACCTCTGCTGACAATATGCTTGAACCGTTCTAAATCTGCGCATGACCAGGCAATATCCCGACTGGGAGCAAGGTGGTTAGACAGAACACTAGACATGTGGAAAATGGCATTAAAGCATTCAAATATCTCTGTCGCAAACAGAATTGCTGGTCCATGTTGTCGCACATTTTCAACAATGTGTAATAGGATGTGTAGTTTTGCTTTTATGAAAATCTGTTTGGGGTCAATCAGTGTCCAGATGTCAAGAACATTTGCTATCAGAATCTCTAAGTCGGCCTGATCCTGCGTTAAATGTTCATTCAAGGGATGTATAGTTCATCACATACCAGATACAAGTTCATCTTGTCAATCTCATCCCACTCAAGTAGTGCCCTCAGCTTGTCAGTGGCTTTCCACAAGTCTTGTACCAGCGGTGGCACTAGAGCTGTGTCAAGGCGGAATACAGCAAGTTGTTGGAGGGTTTTGAAGTGCTTTCCAATGAGGCTATTGCGATACTGAATCATATATGATGCGCGGATAGGTGGAATAGTAAGGCCATCAATAGATGAGGCTTCCAACCGCACTGCAAAAACTTGACATGGTGCCGGTGTCCATGCAATATTAGTAAGATGCCAAATGTACTTGTCTTGTCCCAGTAGATAGGTATGTAGTAATTCAACGGGTGTATCTTGATGTACATCAAGTGCTGGATATTACAGAAGGATGTTAATTATTTTAGCGCCATAAAAGCAGCTTCAGTTGACACATCACCCACTTTTGACATCAAAGAGGGAGTTATAGTGATGACCAGCTCGTAATTCCTGTTTTGTACCTTTAAACACAAGTTTTAACATACCATATAATGTAAATAAGCTGAACATACATGTGTTTGGTTCAAGTGACATGTAAGCCTTCGGGGGCTGTTGGTATAGCCAGTCAAGCAGTTCTCATTGAATATCAACTTTAAGCTCCTTTACAATAGCACCGCGATTTTTATTGCCTTTGGTTTGTAAGCGGTGATCCCTTATGTCTTTGTTATATATGCAAATCTGTTGTAAGTGACGTGCTTTGGTAATAAGAGCCTGGATCCAGAATTCGGCCAGCTTGTCCTTAACACCTGTTTGTCGCTGCAAAACTGTTACTTGCTCTTGAACGCCAAGTGCAGCCACCTTGATCTGTTGCGTAACTGCCAACTTTGTGCCTTCAGATGTACGAGGAACTCCTGGCTGAGTGAATATAATGAAACAAAATTCATTGCTAAAGCGGAAAAGAAAATTACTTCAAAATGTTGTTGGTAAATTTGATCTGTTTCTGTTTCTTGCTGTGTGCCGCCCAGGTGACAGACTCGACACCAGTAGTTGCCTTTGAGCCCCACATGAGAACATAATTCAGATTGCTGGGGATTATCAGCTGATAAAAAAACAGGAAGTATGCGAAAGACAATATCTTCACTAGTCATGCAATCATAGGCTGTATGCCACTTATTTCTGAATAAAAACATGAGTCCAGCACTATGGTTGGGAAAGCATGATACACGTTACATTATCCACCATCAGAGTGTCAAACTGTTCACCTATGCTGGCATGTGGAAACATTGAACAAAAGCGTACAAAGAATTTCTGTGACAGTTTTTTTTGAGGTAAATTAGCATGTGCAAAGTAGATATTGCGGTGCTCATTATACTGCTTGCTACGGTTGCCTGAAACATCATCCCCCCATGCCTTGATATAGCATGTATGCATTTGCCGGCCTTGTGTAATTTCTCATAGGGGGCTAACCCGAGGATAAATACAATGCTTGATATTTTTGCCTATTAATCATGCACTCCAGTCAGTTCAAGCTGTTTATAGTTTCCAAGACCACATAATTACCTGTTGAGACTTGTAAGGTTGAGACAAGGCCATTATCACAAAGGCTAAACCAATTGTGCTTGAGGGAAGTTGTAACAAACCGGACTAAACTACGATCAGCATGTACAAGGTTCACTTGGGCCTGCCATTATGAGTGAGCATCATACAAGATGATTGAGGGGGAAAATGTACTATACTGTCATGTGTGACTGGTATTTCTTCACTGTACACAGGGCCATTATCTGTAAGTTTGAACCAGCGCACAGGAATGACCAGTTGTCTATTACTCAGTTGAGATAACTCGCCAAGGAGATAATGAGTATGTCCATCAGCCCACATTGGCACTTGCAGCTCAGGTTTAATGCCCTGGACAACCTTGGCTGTGTGGCATGTCTCACAAATTTTGCTGGTGAAGACGGGATAAAGCTGCATATGAGGTCGCACTTGCGGATTAGCCCAGTCCTAAGGAGCATTAATAGGGTGTTGTGTTGTTGGTTGGTGATAAGGGAAACGAGGGCAGCTGTGCTGGTCGAACATTACACATATTGGCCACTTGTTGTTGGTGCTTGTTTTGGCGGTGTTGGACTTCACAAAATGCATACTCTGCATTTTGATGTTTATGGGATTTCAGATGCTTTTTCAGTGCACTGCGGTGAATAGTGTAAGGGCCTGTTGAGCTGATGAAGGAACAACACCGGCATTCAAGCAGGGCATTATCAATCTCACAAATACCTGGTAAGTTGGTTATTCCCTTGGTCTTTCAAATTAAAAGGAACTAATTATAAGAGACGTACTTTCAGGTAGAGGTCTGCGTTGGGGAGCCATAGGGAAATAGCAGGTGTGCAGACTCAGTGTTTGTGTGCCAATATTAATATCAGGCTGCAGTCACATTATTTTATTCCAGGTTTGATGACTTGAGGCGCCACTTGAGAAGCAAAAAACCATCATCTTCGGAATGAGTGGCTCCTTTGACAGCATTCTGACAGCTTATAATCTTTCTTCTAGCCCTACGCAAAGTCCAGTTGATGCCAATGGACTGGATTCAGTATCTGCAAGCCAAGAAAAGAATACAGAGGATCCTCGTGAGCCTGAGGATCAAAACACTGAAGACATCAACACTACTTCAGTACCAAATACTCCAGCTCAAAGAAGCTCAATTGTGGGCTTAGAAACACACAGTATAAAGCGACCTCTGTTGGCCAGTCAATACATTGATATTCAGGCCCTTCACAAAAAATTGAAGCCTGAGAGTAAAAGTGAGCTACAAAAATATGCTAAGGTACATTTACACTATAAAATCACTGTCGAGAACATAACTCATCTCTTACTACAGGCATCAGCATATGCCATCCTTTTACAGATTGCAGAACGGGGCAAGGCACTTGATATGGGGCAACAAGGCTGGGACATGGCCAAACGAGTGTGTGTAAGTTAAAACAACTGCTGTGACAAAGGTTTGCAAGAACTGACCATTGTTTAGAAACAAATAGACAAGTTTGCAATGCAATACTATTATCTCCAACAACAGCAAGCTATGCAGGCAACTGGCCGCTGAAGGTCCTTACAGTGAGCATGATTTCTATCCTATCTACTGGTATTCTGTTCACTTTTGTTGCCAGGGATTTGCCACAAGCCGCTCATGGGGTTACTCAGCAAAACTTCGTGAGGAAGATGAAAAGTGGGAAAAATTGGTTAAATGTTGTCAAAGCCGTCTCACACAGCGTCGCTCGGACATCAAAGGCATTGTATGTATTAATTGCTTTGAAAGTGATAAGGACTAACTGGCTCACTATGTACAGATCAAAGAGGCTACAGAATCTAAGAAGGACATTGTTGCTTGCTGCAACAGGCTTGCAACATATGGCCGCTTTGACAGTCAAGTCAACATCACTGTGCAAATGTATGCTTGTGTTGCATTCTTAGTAAGTGTTGGTTCCTTATTAGTGTTCCCTGTTTGACGTTGTCCGTAGCACTTTGCCTTAGGACAGGATGGGAGCTTCTGGAAGCAAGTGGACATTACCTTGCAAAAAGTGAGAGACACTCATAAGGAGCCAAGGAAAATCACGAAGTAAGTCTTTTTATTTCTACTTATATAAGTGCTTACATGATATTATAGGTGGTTCACTAAGGTGCTTGAAGATGACCGTAAAAAATATGGAGCAAGAGATACAGAAAAAATAGGAGATGCTTCACTTGAGCAGGCTGAGATTAACGACACAATGGCTTCTGGGTCTTTCGTCAACATAGATGTGGGTGAAGTGACTGAGGAGAACAATTGACTGTTGGTATAAGTCTTGACATTAAAGAATTATGCTATATACATGAGTTTCTACGTGCTATTTAGAAATGCATGAAGTGATATCTGGGCCCAGCTGACTGATAAACATAGCTGCAGCTCATCTGATACTCATCTGGCTGTCGTGTGGAATGCACTCGAGACAAATGTGAGTCAATCACATGGTTCTAGGATGGGGAACAGCTGGTTGCCATATCTGTTGGCCATGTGGTCACAGCTGACCTCCGCCGCTGGTTGCCACCTGGGACAAATTTGGTGGTGTAGCTAAAATTTTGGGAAGTTTCTAAAATAGCTCATTAGAATCTTTTTTTGCCAGGTTTGCAGGTAATATACACCAATTGAGGCACATACCATAAATAGCAATAAAAGAATGCAGCTTGTCTGAATAGTAGTGTAGAATGAAAGAATTGAAAAAATGTATCAAATACATTTTCTCAATTCTTTTGATCTCCTTTGCCATGGTTATGATTGGGACTATGGCTGTATAATGGTGGTGAGAGTAGTGGTTAGGGGCAAAAGTGGTGATAAAGTAAAACATGGGTGTTAAAAATACATTCTTATAGTGTATTTGGGGCAAGGAGAATGGATGTCCCCAACTAATAGGAGACATAGTGGGGAGACCAGCCATACAAAATCTCCCCCTATTAGATGTTGGTACATCCAAGAGTTTCCCCCTTATTTATGCTCCACAGTGGCAACAAAAAAAATGATGTCAGCAACTACCACTACTAGAAGATAATGTTCACACTGTTAGTTTCCTCATTACAAAAAACATAGATGAAACAGATTGGGAGTCCTCCAACTCAGACTGTCAGTTTGATTGGCAATCATCCCCCACAAAGCCACCCCAAGCCTAACTCACAAGCTCATCCTTACCACTTTATACAGACAGGATGATAAGGTTGCACCATAATATCTAGTGAAGATTGGCTGTATACTCCACAAAAAGAAAGGAAATGTACATACACACTCCCACATAGTATAGTAAGGGCCCACTGGGCAGCCACTGTTTCAAAATGAGAGATATTTGCAAATATGCTCATTTTGAACAAGCTGAGAGGCAAATGATATTTCTCACACTATGTCACACCATGTTACACCAATTTTGGTATTGTAGATTATCAGTAGATATTGGTTTTCCTTTCCCCTGAGCCTCTATTATGACCACATCCTCCTCTCAAAAGAAAGCAGCTGCCTTGGCTCTTCTTAAGTCATATCATGTTCAACAAAGGAAGGCTGCTTCCCTGGCTTCAGCTGCTGTATTACTGGCTTCAGTATTATCTCTTATTAAATGACCTCAGCATAATTTAATTGTAACTGGTCATACTTGGGTTAGGTGTAACAACCAAGAGTTAGTTACTCTGGCGCACACAGGAACACACTATAAAGGTAGTGAATGGGGAATAGTTACCCCTTAGGCTGCAGAGAGTTTGTTGGTTAACAACAGGAGGACTCGCTGAGGAGTCTCCTGGATCTATTGGGGTATATATACTAATACAGAGTGTTTGTACTTATGTACTGTACAGTTGATAAAGTCAGTGGCTGATGATGTCATGGGGCCTAGCCCATATGACCAGCTCCACTGTGTGAGAGAGTTGTATCTAAAATAAGAAGAAGGCAACGCGGCGCAAGAAAGAGGAGTTTGAACAAAAGGGGAAGTGTTGCGTGGCACCATGTGTGAAAGCTAAAGTGTACAAGGTTAAAGCGGAGAATGAAAAAGAAGGAAAGGTCCAAAAATTGTGTTATTGTAACATTAGGTAGCTATTATATGGCCATCCTTGTTGATTCCATAATATGATGGGGATTTTCAGGCCAGTTTTCTGCAGGCTCCTTCAAGAGCTCAAGAATCATGCGGGTTTTTTTTTACTCCAAGCGTATTTCAACAGAGGAGCAGCTTGCTATCTTCTCCGAATGCGTTGCACTGGTGGGACAAATAGAGATATACAGGAGAGGTTCCAGCATAGTGCTGATACAATTTCAAAGTGTATGCACATGTGTTTATTCTTCACTATCATTCACTGAGTATCAAACCCTGTTACTTATAGGATCTTTCATGGTATGCTCAATATGGTGGTTTCTCCTATTCTTGCTTGCTATGTTGCTAGCTATCCAGAGCAATGTCTGGTGACTTACTCAAAGTATGGAACATGTCCCAAGTGCAGGTGTCCAGCAACAGACCTTGGAGATAAAGCAGCTGATAAACCCAGGATATCTGAGGGCATTTTGTGATCAATATGTGGAAAAAGGCATACCTGGAGATGTTTATAGGTTATTTTGGAATATCTACCTTTGCATTACCTCTGATGCTCTACATTAGCTTTACCAGGGTGTTATCAAGCATATAGTATTGTAGTGCTAAAATCTTATGGGCACAGAGGAATTAGACACAAGATTATACACTTTACCTATTAGATATGGATTAAAATATTCCAAAAATGGTTTTAAGCTTTTTCTTAGATATCTGGAGGCAAAAGGAAAGATATGGCTAAGTTGCTTTTAGAATGTCTTGTAGGGAAGCTCCCAAAGCAAGTAACCATCAAATCAGAATACTCTTTGACTTTATTTACATTGCTTAGTATCCCACACACAGTGACACCACCATTGGATATTTATCTGATACTCTCAAAGCCTTTCATCAAAACAAAGCAATTTTTGTCACTCTGGGTGTTAGAGAACATTTAAATATCTCTAAATTTCACTCTTTATTGCACTATGTCAACACTTCACTGGTTTGGGGCTATAAATAACTACAACACAGAAATGTGTGAGTGTTTCCACATAGACATGGCCAAGGATGTGTTGAGAGCATCAAATCATAGAAATGAGCATCCACAAATGTCTACCTGGCTAACAAGGTAAGACAAAACTGCATGGTTCGAATGTGATCAATCTTCTTTACAAAAGAGGCCAGTTCTTTGACAGCAAGATATTCTCCAGAATCCATCTGGATTAGGTATTAAAATAGTCAAAGTATCTCCTCTCCCACTACAACCTCTTTATTTAGTTCTACAAAACCACCAATGGTATGGCTTTATACATAATGTCAAGGAATTTATAAATTGCCTATTGTGGGGCCATCCAGGTCATATGTCCAGAAAATCAGTCAATATTGCAAATCTCCCATTTAATTCACTTGATGTATTCACTGGTTTCAAGCTCACTCCAATTCACCTTGGAGATGATAATAGTGTAAATGAAAAATATGAAATTATCAAGACAAGGCCTAGGTCCAAAGGAATTACTCCATAATTTAATAATGCTGTTGTAATAGACACATTAGAAGCAGAGCAAACAGGTGTTGCTAGTAATATTCTTCTCTAATTTCATAATCAGTTTCAAGTTGTAAGTTAATGTCTCATAACACAAGTACACATGTTGGAGTCAAAGTAATATTGGCCCCCTGCCATTTTTCATGTAGGTTCTGTTGGTATACCAAAGCATAGGCCTAAAACTCCACTGGTGTATATTGAATAGCATACCAAATTGAAAAGTAGTGCAAATCCAACATATATGATGTATGTGGTCACAATGCCTGCACTTAGGGCTGATGGTACTCCAACAGCTTCCATAGTATCATTGAGTGGTATACAACAAGGCTGCCACTTATTGCCTTTATTTAGAAAAGATCAAGTGCCTGCTCGGAAATATACTTTAGATATTTGCAATGAGTTTATATTGAATAATTAGGCTAAATTATATGCATACCAAACTATTTGGTGAATATGAGTTCTTTCTATTGTGGTTGGTATTAGAAAAAGGTTTTCATAGACATAAATGAGTTGATATAGCTGGTATAGCAAATATAAAGCTCCATATAGAGTATTATTGGCTATAATAGAAGTTTAATCACTATCATACAGTAGCAGCCATAGCAACAAACATACCTAGCTATATTGAAAAATGGTTTTTCCTGATGTCAAGAGACTCAGACCAGTCTTTACATCAGTGACCTCTTGTTAAGGTGCACACTATTATGGTTGAGCACATCGCTGTTTGCACAGCCACAGCAACATGGTGATGAATAGCCACCACCACCCTCCTTTATCCACCCTCCTTATCCAGTTTTCACCAATCCCATCCATCCTATTTCCATTGTCAAACCACATTCACAAGGAATGGGCAGTAGCTCATCTGCAAGTAAAAACTAGACTAGGCTGCCCACTGCAGGTATTTGCAGGCACTTGGCGGGGTAAACAAGAAGTACAACAACACTCACCTGCCACAATAACAGCCAGTAAAGCCATAGATTTGGCTAGGAGATAGAAGGTCTGCTATCAATAATATTATCAATTAGGAAGTTAGAAAAGGGACATGTACATGCAAGAGGACAGCAAAGATGTCTGCTACAGGCTACTTCCTATGAGGCTTCCTTTCGGCTAACAGCAGTTGCTATATGTTAGAACTGTGATCTTCAGAGTAGTCGGAGTTTCAGAGGACAGAGGTACATTGGGGGAGCAAAACAGGGTATGAGGCGGCTTAGCTTGTGCGCTAGGCTCTTCCACAGACCTGGGTCCCTAACCAGACAGCGTGAACAAGGGATAAAAGTAGAGTGGAGTAAAGGTCCTTCAGAGAAGGACCAGAAAACTTAGAAAGAGACTGGGTTAAAAAGGTGGAGGAACTTATTGATATTCAAACTGCAGGAACAGAGTAGAGGAGCTATGTACTAATTGGAGGCAGTGGAGTTTTTCCAAGGGGTAACCCATAATGTAGATACAGAATTCCATACGGACAACTATCTAACAAGGAGGAATTGTATGTGAAAGGAGTGTACCATAAGGTCTAACTATAGAGTCCATAAAGAAACATAAGAATATGTGGGAGGGAACATATAGCATACTGGAAGTCTGGGGCAAGGGAATCAGAGCAGATATCTGGAGTATCATATGGGAGCAAGGCACAGGACTATGCTGAGAAGCATAGCACAAGGAGCATAATTCTGAGAAGACCAAAGATTTGGGAGTTTGGACTTGGGGGTTTCTGACTGTTCAGAGGTTTTGAATCCTTAGCCTGTGGCATGAGTATGACACTGTAGGGGTGTTGGAGGAGACATGGGTCAGATAAACTCATGCTAAATTCCACTGTGAGCCAAAAAACCTGTGAGTCTGTATAAAGGAGATCCTGAAATGGGTGGCTAATTAAAATATCAAACTAAGAGGAGGTTTGCAGATGCTGGTGAGAGAATCACTGATAATGCCACAGTCCATGGGTAGCACAAGCCCAAAAGGTCACTACAGTTATAGTTGACAGCACTTTACTTCAATTTTTTTGTTTCTTCTATAGTGTCTTGACTGAGGGAGTGTGTTGGAGTGCAGTATATCACTCATATTATAGTCTATGTCACTACTTAGTCTATAGTAGTTTACTGCCTGTCAGACATTAGTTATAGCCACATTAGTCAGTGCTACATCAGTTTTTCTATGACCAGTCTCAGTAGTAGCCTTCAGTTAAAGCACTATTTTCTATAAGAAACAACTGGGGTGGCAACAAGATAGCAATAATGAGATAAGATAATAAGTTAACATACTGATTTGTTTGTATTGGAGATTTGGACCCTCAGAATGTGGGAACAAGCACAGGAGAGGTATTTTTTGGTGAACAAATGCCATAACATGTATATACAGTGCTTTTTATATACCAAACCAATTTAAATATTATATGAAATAATATAGTTGCCACAAAAGGCCAGATATCATCATAAGCCAAATTTTCAGGTGAAGGTCCAAAATTTGCTTACACAATATAATTTCTACACTTAAAGTAGAGAACACAAATGTGGCTGAAAACTTGTATTGTAACACAGAATTGGTTTTATAGATATTAAGAAAGAAGTTGCTTTGAATAAAAAACCTTTGAAATAGGTGGTAAATTAAACGTAAGGGTGTATTTACTATAAATATGTTTGACAAAATGTATATACTTGCCCCAAATTACAACTTAGTTAAGAGTTTAGCTCAGCCTGAACACAAACTGAATGTACTAAACTAATTTTGGAAGTCTTCCATGATATGATATGGTTTGGAAGAAAATGCCTTTGAACCAAACCAAACCAAATATTGGCATCCTTATAGACCTCTCCGCCACTACCACTTCCTCTTCACTACTACTACTACTACCACCACCACCACCACTTTGCCACTGCCACCACTACCAACTACCAGTCAAGTGATAGTATAAAAAGTGATACTTAGTCAGGCAATAGTCAGTTTTAACTAATATCTGCCTACTAACTGACTTCATTTTTACAAGAAGGATGTGTGGGAACCACAGACATTTCTTTTTGAGAGTAGTTCATCACTGTTAGGCTAAGACTGAGTAAAAATCAACCTTTAAAACTTGTGAAATGTGACTTTCACTATATAAATAGATGCTGATTGGGTACTTGGTGATTCTTTGGTGACCACCTTAAGACAGAATATTTACCTTTCCTTTGTGACACAATTTTCAGGCTATTGCTATATGCCTACCAAGTGAAAATAAGCCTTAACCCCCCTGAAAGCCATTAGGCCCAACCTCCTATGACATTTTTTTGATTGCAGGTGAAGACTAATTGATAATGTGATGTCTTCTATTGTCTATAATCTGTGATAACACCAACAAGGGGCTACCTTGGAGCACTGGAGCATAATAAGGAAATGACACAATAACTTAAAGGAGGGAGGTTGTTGTCACTAATGATGGTAGACACTAGGAGAGAACTCGCTGGGTCCTTTCTCCATGTATTGCCCAAGTATATATACTACAATACATGAAGTACTATACAGTTGATAAACAAAGTTTAAAGGTCTGATGTTATAGTATGTGATCAGTCACATGCTCATGTTGAGTTTGGATACTGGTCAGGTGATTTGTCACGTGATCAACCATGTAACTATGAAAAGTCCAAAAAGTAAAGTAAAGTATATGGTCACATGATCAGCCACATGACTTAGAAAAAGTAAAAGTAAAAGTACAGTAAAAAGTAAAGTGAGTGCTAAAACAGGTGCTGGAAGTGTTTATCATAACATAAACAACCTTTATTGGTCTATAGCAATACCCAAGGTGAAACAATGCAGTCTGTTTATGTGCACATGCTAGGTATATATTCTGGCTAGCTACCCTGATTAGTCAACAGGTTCTTGCCACTGGAATTGTAAGACAGGCTGATATACTCCTATAATAGTTCCAGTGTCAGCACTTAAAGTGAGAGAATAGAGAATGTACCTTCACCAGTGTTATAAAGCTCTTATGAGCTTCTCTCCCCACTTTAAGAGTGACCTCTGTATGAACATCAAGGGAAGCATATATGTTAACCTAAAGATACAGCCTCACACAATGAAGAAGATAGTAACCAAGTAGCAATAAAAACAGTGTGAGGACCTGTGTGCTGCAAAAACTATCATCTAAACTAGCATATTAGCCGATAATCGCTATTATTTAAATATCCATGTACCTTTTATATGTCTTCATGAGTTAAGCCATCTTTGAATAAAATGTTCATGACTGTATTAGGATGTTTTTGGTTTCATCATTTGTGGAAAGCTTAGAAATCTAATATAGGAAATATTAGTGCTTGAATGCAAAACAATGGAGGGAAGAACTTACATTTTGTCAATAAGAGCAACACTTTTTTTACCAAGCTCTGTGATATACTTCTGTAGTTCAATGCCAAGATGATCCCCACACAGCCCACTTTGATGACAGTGTAGACAATCAAAAAATATTGCACGGTAAATGTCTGTGTTACCAATTGCCCAGAAAGCATTCTATAAAAGAGATTTTATTATTTGTGTTGCCCGTTGAGAATGTATGCTTTCACCTCTATGTTACGAGGACCTTACTGCTTGAGAATATTCTCCTTCTCTTCAATAGATTGTGTTACTCTTGCATCCTTAAGAGCAGTCTGAGATTGTTGATTTGTTTTAAGTGTTAGTGGTTGCACATAACCAGAAAAAAGTTGTTCTTTTGGAACCAAACAAATTGGACACAGAAATAGGCTTTGTAGTTCACACCTCAACACCATAACACATCTATCTATTCTGAGAATCAATCTGTTAATATAACATGGGCCAAAGAGCTATGAGTATACAATATTCTAATGCTCTATGCATTGAAAAAATGCCAAGAAAAAATTTGCAAACTTGTAGGAAACCCAACCAAAAGTAAGGCTACAAATTCCGGCAATGTATTCTATCAAAATTCAGTTTCTTGAGTGATTGCAAATGTAGGTTTTTTTTTTCAGACATGTAGTAGCCCAACTAACTCAACCCAACAATGAATAGGGCTATTCAAACCCATTTAAATATGTTCCATGCAAGATTACCCCAAAGAAGGCGACAATGTCATCATCACACTTTTGCTATTTTGGTATCAGTATCCAAGCCTTGTATGAAAGTAGTGAATTGTGGATGCCATGATACTATGTGATGGATATTGGTACAAATATCATATTATGGTGCAGCAAGTGGGGCAGCAGACACTTTTCAAACATTAAATTGTCCTGTCAGGAAAACCATCAACAAAGTATTTCCCTGAACTACAGGTACTAGCATTCTTTGCATATCATTACAGAGGCCTCAAAGATGCAGCTCAGCTATTCACAAGATGATAATATGTTGTCATGGATATTACCTGGTAAAAACAAACTGATTAGCTGCGACTATCAACATACTTGAATCATTCTGTGAGGGTCTTGTATAACCAATTGGGACTACTGTGCGGGATGCATTTATATTATCTATTTGGTTATTACTGGCCACACATTGACAAATCTTATGTTACAAATATCTCTGTAAACCTTTGCAAGAGGTAGTGCTCTTTTACTGCTGTAGAGAGGTTTGCCCAAATTAGCAGTGTAGAGCTTTATAACCACTCCACATAAGTTTCTCCAGTGTAGTCCCATACTCAGCTCCATGTGTTCATCAGGTCCAGCATTTTTTTCAAACATAACCATGGACTCTGATCTAGCTTCCAATCAATCACCTTATTTCTCAATTAACAACCATTCCCAGACACCAACCAGTTTCATTTAACTTTCATTCCAAATGTGGACATTTGTGCCACACAGCACTTTCCCACTTTCCTCTTTTATTTATTGTCAGCTTTAGTCTCAAACCCAAAACTAGCAAGGAGTGCCAGCATCTGGGGAAACTTGATACAGGCCAAGTGCATTGAGTCACACCCGCTAGCTGAGCACTTGTAATATAATAATAGAACTGTTATCTTATCTCTTGCCATGACTGACTGTCAGATTGATTATACTGGTGGCCAGTTTAACAACAAAGTCAATTCACTCACATCTTGAGCACAGAGTAGCATACATGTATTTTCCAATCCTACTGACACAGAATCTGACAGTGACTCTAAGGACCCTCCCCAGCTCCCAATTCAAGTGCACTGTACTGCGTCCCTCAAGAGTCACCCACAATGCATGGGCAAGTGGAGCCAAGGCATCCCTTGAGGAGTTTTCATTTGGTTGCATAGGAAAGGTACTTGAGGATGAGCTGAGGAGGATCCAGGACCTCACAAAATGCTCCCCCAAAGACATATCTGAGGAGGGCCTTACCAGCTTCTTCATTGAAGACCTCATCTTCAAGCTTCAAACACCTGAGTTTTCTTGTTTGTACATCACCCCCACCTGTCTGTAAGCTTCCCTCTGGTGAAGCCTACATCACAGAATAGTATATGCTAGGTACTGTCCACATAGAAGAAGCAAGCTACCAAGGCAATGACAAGCTACTGACTGAGTGGTTTAAGCAACTTAGCCTTGACTCCCAAGATCAGTAACAGATGACACAGTGAACCATGTCATTCCTTGGGTTGGCAACCAGTTGACTATTGAATGGCTCTGTGATTTATACCACTTCCATGCTCAAAACCACAATAAATTTGACTGGATAGATTGGATAATCCTCATCTTTGGCTGGTTCCACTTACAAATGCTGTCTGCAAACTCCATAAACAATATCTGGGTACTAGTGCAGGGTGTGGACTCATACATCCTTTCACGCTGCTTGAGAGGAAATGACTTAGTTATGTGTAGACCAAAAAACCCTTCTATCAAAACCTTCACCAAGTCATTTGTCATATTGCCAAAGCCTACTTTTGCACATGCTGGCTGGTGGCAGGTAATATGAACAAGCTAACAGATTTCATATAAAATCTGCCACTAAATTACAAGATTTAGTAGAGATTATTTTGGCCAAGATGTTCTCTAGTGATGAATTGGAAAACATGCTCTTTGAACCACCCAAAAAGCAAGACCAAGTTTGTTGTCGGGCTATCCGTTGGAATTGTGATGCACTGAGGTACCTCAATGTGATTAACGCAGTTCAAAATGGCAATATTGGGATTATGCAGGACTCTCTGCTGCATTTATTATACCAATTTGCAGGTGGGGGCAACTCAAAGTATACTATTGAGGTCCTGGAGGTCCTACAGTGCATCCATTATGAGTGGCCTCCAGAAGTATGGTATGTAATCCTTACTACTTAATATGTTTTCCAGGATTCTCATTCATGCACACACAGTATACATCAGGCCAGTCCGGGCATTTTTTCCCTATAGATAAAGGCCCGGAGCATAATACCAAGGAAAGCAAAGTGTGCAATTAAAATTCACATGTTAGATCTCTCACTAAACAATGACACAGGTTACTTTTGCTATGCATGGTGTGCATGTTACCTAAGAACCTATGAACAATGTGCTTCAGCATTGCCGACTCTCAGATCTGCACAAGAACACCTTGAGTGACAACTGTGGCCTCTGCGCCGAGGCACCTCACATGTTGAGCCTTCAAAGGAGCAGGACCTGTTGTTACTTGACAATACTTACATTGACTCGCAGGTTCATGTCAAAGTTAACGGTTGTTCCTCCAAAAGTCCCAAAGATGTGTCTCAAGGCATTATCACCAATGGAGCCATCAATCTTATCACTCGCAAGACAATAGGGAACTGATGGGATAACTGCAATTACATGTGGTCTACTGAAAAAACATGGTAAATAGTATTATCATTGACTACTATTGTATTTACAGTATATCTACAATGGACAAAATGATGCAGCAGTGACTTTCATGTCTGACTTGAATCTGGGACCAGTGTGAATAAATTGACACATAAAATAAATAAAAAGAAAGAGCTTACTGAGATGTCCCCAGGAGGGGAATGTTCTCTTTCTGTGTAGTGGGGGGCCTGCACTTGACAGGCTGGACCTTCCACTCCCTTGTCATTTTCATAGCCTCTGACATTTGGGCCTTTTCCTCCTCCTCCTTTTTCAACCTTGCAGCCTCCATGGCTTAACATTTTGCATCACACTTTTCAACCTTACTGGCCTTGTATTGCACTTTGCCTTTCTTAGTAACCTCTCCCATCACTATGACTACCTCTGGGCCATACTCTTCCAAAAGGGGCCATGCCACTGGTAGGCCTTTTTCTACGTCTTCCACTGTTATCCATCCACAATGCAACATAATTGAAGTTAATGTGTGATCAGGCAGCAGAGCGTCACCAGTAAATGAGTAGTGTGTGTAATCATGGCAACAAATGGTGATGCACCAGCATTGGAGGGCCATTTTAGCACTTGCCAGGTGTTCTTTGGTATGCTGTTTTGTTTCCGATAGACTGATCAAGGAATAGATGGGCTGTTTGCCTGAGGAGTTGGGAAAAGATGATGGAGTTTCATCGGACAGATCAGACTGGTTGGAATAGATGCTGATGGGGCTCCTGGGAAGAGAAGCCATTGGTTGGGGCTGGGAGACTTGCGCCTTGGTGCAATTATCATAGCAAGGATCTGTGGGTGCTTAAAGTATGTGAGTAAGTTAGCTTTGATTAATGCATCAACATGTGGCTCATATGAGGCCAAAAATATCTGATTGTGCCAGCAGATGGTCAAAACATCTATCAGCAATATCATGCTGACAACCCTTTGAGGTCAGTGTTTATCTGGCCCTCTATTATATTTTCTGCATTTTTATAACAGTGGCTCTTCTTTCACCATTGTTGAAACTCCTCCAACTTGGACAAAAACTGATGACTCAACAAGCAAAATAGCTCATCCTTGAACTGATGGAAGGCAGGCTGCACAGCCTATACATTGGAGCCACACAGCAAGAGAAGAAGTGACACCAAACTCAAACTAGACAACATATTCAACATTAGTTATGTTCAGTCCCATGCCGCCTGCCTTAGTGACCACCATTAACCTGGGTTTTCCCTCCAGAAATCTCCACATAATATTTTTTTTAGTTCATGTGGACCTCCAAGGATAGAGGAAGTCAATGCTGCCCCTGAGAGATAGAGGTCAGCATTCTCATAGATGCCTATGTGCTGCCTAGTAATTACAGACTATATTAACACATATTAACATTTCCGGTATTTTATTGCAAAAAATACAAGTCCAACTTTTATCACGTGCAATTGTGTGGATTTTTCTCAAAATTCCCACAGGCACACTTTGTGGCACCAGATCCAAGGTCCCCGGTTCCCAGCCATGTACAATGGTTGTCCCTGGCACAGCAGTGGGGTCCCCCTCCTTCCTTGAGGTGCTACAGGGTCTGGGCGCTGACCACTAGATGTCCAGGGTGTGGGCAGGTGTGCTGGGATAGCCTTGAGGGCCCAAGAACAGGGGGTGGGGATGGGGATGAGGAATGCTGGGATGGAGCTGCCCTCTTTGCCCTCTTGGACAATACCACTGTCATGCGAGCAAAGTTGTGCTTTTTTTTGCGAGTGGTGGGTGCCGGGGGGCTTTTGGACCGTGCTGTTGCAATGGGCATGGTGGTGAAAAGATGAGGACAAGGTGGAACCACTATAAAAAAAAACAGTCAGTAAGTAATTGAAAAATAATGAAAAAATAAAAATTTACTTTGCAACCACCACCTATTATCAAGAGTCTCCTTCCTCTCAGGAGTCTGTCTCCCAGGATCAAACCAGACAGATCCCTCCATATGCGCCGTAAACCCTCCAAACATGCTTGTATTCTCATTGCCTATTTCTCTGTTAGCAAAAATGTAGGAGACATTCTTTCCAAAAGCAAAGTCAGCATGTACTCAACAACTCTTTCATGAGTCAATGCGCATAGTCTTGGAGTCTCTTATAGAGCCAGGCAAGCATGGAATGGAAGTTACAGGGGGAGATAGAAGGGTAAGAAGGATCCATTCCATCCTAGCCTGCTATGTATGTAGCTGATTAATGTCTTGTCACCTGTGCAAAATATGGGATCTGTCTTAAATGTGATGCCTCTGAAAATACCATGGGAGAAAGATGTCCAGGGAGATGGAGAACCCAGAAGAAGACTGCTGAGGTTATATTGACAGCCAAAGCTGATGCAACCTCTATCAGCAATTTCCAGGAGAGATGCAAAGCTCAAAATGTGTCTGGGGGTGTCCATCATCCTTTCTTGGAGGGGTTTCCTCATTGTGACATCCACATGGCCATAACCCATAATATACTCCATTAACTCTATTAAGCTGTCGTAAAACATCTGATTCACTGGTGCTCTAGCTTAATGGGTACAAGTATACATGATGTCAGAGATGGTTGCTACAAGGAGCCTGGTGATTATGGCTTCTTTTTGCATGAAGGAGTCTACTTTTTCTTCATATTATTTGACATCATCTTCATCTACTGGGGTGCCATCTTGTCAAAGTGGTGCCCCATTAGTATCAAGTTTCATCGGTTTTGAAGGCCTCATTTTGCCTTCCAAAAACCTAGTCAAGCCTCAACCAGCAACCTCTGTGAGGAACCTTGTTTTGTATGATCCCCAGTTGGATCCGCTATCATCCAATTTGGGCATACTTAGGGAAGTTGATCTCCTACAAGGGACATTTATTTTATGCTGGCAGGGCTCATAAACTGAAATATAATTCAGCCCTTGTAGATAGAACTGAGGTGTCAAATGAACACTAAAATCCGAAAATATGGCAGAAACAGAGAAGTCTGAGTTCTATTTACTAATATAGGTATAAGTCTTTCACACACGTTGATGAGTGCTCATTTCCTGTTATTATTGCTATGACATATCTCTACATAATCATTATCTGCAATTTGTTCTTGCAGATTTAGCCTCCATGAGTGCTGGCCATATCACTCAAAACATCTTTATTTACCTAGACACAAATGGCTGCTTGTCCTCCCCAGTGAGTAGGTTTAAGGTTTATACTTAGGTTGCATTAGATACACTTACTACTTTCCAATGTAAGCTATCTCCTAACAGCTAGCAATAGCTAACTTTCTCCTAGTGAATTATATAATTTTTCACCAGAACTTTGCCGATAAAGACCTCAGCAAAGGTTTGTAAACAAGTTAAATATGCAAATGCTCACACAAGAAAAACAATCATTAGAGTAGATGAACAAATAACACTGTACTTATGATACTACAACCCTATCTAAGCTACATCTACAAGCCAGCCAATAATTCTTCTACACTTACAGCTGAACCAACTTGTCAAAGATTTGTAAGGCAACTATTTTGGAAGTGATTTATGCTAATTTTACCTATTACTGAGTTTTTTCTCTCTTAATGCTTCACATAGTTGGTAAAAATGTAGGACCATAAGTACTTACCATCAAAGTCTGTCCTTGTTTTCCAACATCTGTGCATCTTGTTTCATATGGTCTGTTTCTGCATCCACCTATTTCCCATCACTTATGGTTAAAATAAATTTGGTGGACTTTGTTAGGAAGCTCTTTTTACATACTTCTCCCAATGCTACTGTATTTTCAGTGACTCTACAATCTTTTCTTGAGACCCATGGTTCTAAACTCAGTTCAAAGGTATAACCATATTTGTGGTTGCAAATTGAATTGACAAACTGCTACTAGAGTCCAAGATGACATTTTGCAAACACACTCTATTGGTATAAGGTCCAAGTAGAAACAAAAGCCAATTACATTGAGCAATTAATTGACAAATTGAAAAAGCAAGAACAAGCATTAGCACACATAATCTCCAACAGTGTCTCAATGTTTATTTGCAACAAAAATACCTGTTCAGGTTTATGCTTTGGCCCTAATATAGTGTTTTTTTGGCACATCTGCCTTTGTTTTGGAATGTAGGGAACTTGTACTACATTGTGTGTTAGATTGTGTGGAGTAGCGCTTTTTGGAAAACAAAATAATTCTCCCAAATCAAGTTCACAATATCTGTCTTTCACACCTATGGACATTGCTGGCCCTGCCAAATGATGTAGTCTCCCAGGAAATATGAGGGATTTGGGCTCCCAGATGGCAAAGGATGTGAATGCTTTTAGAGTTTTATTAACAAGTTGAATCTATCATTACAAGTTTGTGGGTGGGGACTCCTTTCTCTGAGGTTTTATAGTACTATAGACATAAATTTATGCTAAAAAACTAGGTCTTGCATGTAGAGGAGAAATAGTTGGGAGAGTCTTGGTCAATGACTATGATGTTATTGGCAACATTGTACAATTAAAACCATAGAGACAATTATTAAACCAGTGAAACACTATTGAAAACTGTAAAAGCACAGTCAAATGGTGGGACAACCAAAAAGCCCTATCGGTTCAGTACACCCCAAGGGCATGCACTTGCATAGAAAATACTTGGCAAATCTCTTCGTTTCAAGCCTCATAATTATCACATTCAAGGTGTATGTAAATGTCTTTATGGTGAAGACTTACTAACCATTATACCAACAGAAGGCAGGAAAATAGGGTTCTTCTACACATACATACTTGTCCTGATAACACTATCCAGGCAACCAGATATATGCCAACCTTTGCCAAGAGTTTGTTACTCTGCCGCACAACTAGGACCAACTATAGAGAGGATGATGAGGGAGTGGATACCCTTTGGGCTTCAACAAGTTAGTTGTGAGGATACAACAGGAGGACTCGCTGAGGAGTCTCCTGGATCTATTGAGGTATATATACTACTACAGGTTGTTTGTACATGTTGTACTATCCAGTTGATAAAGCAGTGGCTGATGATGTCAGAGGGTGCAGCCCGTGTGACCAGCTCCACTGCGTGAGAGACTTGTGGCTAAAATAAGAATAAAGGTAGTGTAGCGTGAGAAGGTGGAGTTTGAACAAAATGGAAAGTGTCGCATGGCACAATGTGTGAAAACTACAGTATAAAGTTAAAGAGGAGAATGAAAATTAAAGGTCCAAAAATTATGTATCATAACAACCTTGCAAATATGTTTCAGTGAATCCTGCTATGGTAGTTTATTATCTGATGATATTACTATATAAACGGGGCCAGTGGAGTCTAGCGGAGTGTGCTAGGCCATTCTGGAGCTCACCGGGGCAGGTTTCCGCTTCAAGTTTGATAGT